CAGCCAGAGCAGGGCTGCCGTGCCGCCTCGGCGTGTGTCCGTGTCCGTAAGATTGAGGTCGTCTTGGATGACGGCGAGGAGGGGAGGGATGGAGAAGGTGGAGAAGAAGTTGGAGAAGAGAGAGAACCATGCAAGGTGGAAGGCTAGCATGTGCGGTGGCGCAATTAAGAATAGCCTAAACTCTGTGGCCTTTTGATCAGCATCTACTGGTAATGAAAACAGATGATCTACTTGTTCAGTTTCAGCTTCAGCTTCCATGGTGGCTGTTAATTAATTGGCTTTGTGAATTTGATTATCAGAATATTTCTGCTTTTTGGAGTAGCGCTGTGTAAACCAGCTTCAGCACGCAAAAGTGCTTTTACTCATGGTGGCTGTTCTTTCTGTGCCTGATATTTTTCATTTTGGTGACATATATTGGTGCTTTTAAAGTTAAAGATTTGTGTGTGTGCATGTGTGTAGGAATGTGTGGCATCATATATACCATTAACTTTTCAATTTGATTAAAAGGTTAAAGTAAATATTAGGGTTTCTATTTCAAGTCTTCAATTTGTTGTGTGGAATCATGAGGATAATGACAAAAGAAGCAATGAGAGGGTTACCCTTACCCACCCAAAATCCACTACAAGGACGTTTGTCGATGGCCTTAAATTCTCGGTGTCTTGCTGTCAAAATGAGGGTTACCCTTACCCACCCAAATTATGCGAGAGGCTCATATCTTTTCCTATCAGTTGAATCAAGATGCTACAATTTCAGCTCAGGTCTCAACTGGGGATGGTTTTAAACTCGTAACCCAAACCAAGGTAGCTAGATATGCATTGAGAGATTAGATGGTGCCAAATTTGCATTGAATTGAGCATCTTAATCGGGTTTGAATTCTCTACTTGGATTTTCTCTGCTTGCCTACCATCTCTATATTGTTGACCTATTACAAATAAAAACAAACAACCCAATTGATTTTCGAAAGTGAAAGAAAGACGATTAACGAAATATCCTTTCAAATGATATTCGTGTCGACAGTACCGACAAGAATCGAGTTGGAGAGGCAATTTGTATGAGACCAAATCCTCATTTGAATTCTTCAATAAAGTAGAATTAGCCTCCCATCATATAACGACGACAAAATTAACTGAGAATACCAGCACAACCTTCAAAATCATTCAGGCTTGAAAGCCACGTGTCGTAATACCAACACAACCACGTCAAGCATGGTCTGAGGCTTCTCTTATGTTTTTTTTCTTCTTTGACTGTGAAAATGTATATGTAGGCAGCTAATTTAAATAGCTCGCGCGCGCAGTATGAGACGAAGTGCCATCAAATTCAAAACCCTCTTCGCCGCTAGCCCAAGCAAAGATTTCAAAACTTACGTACAAAAATGTGGGTCTCTCTTGAAGAACCTCACCGAAAATAGGCTCATCAATGAGGGAATGGTCCTTCATAACCGTTTGATCAAGATGGGTCTTTCATCAGAGAGATATATAGCCATTAGGCTTCTAATTATGTACCTGGACTCAAGAAAATCTGCTCAAGTTAGTGAGATCGTTAAGGGGTTTGATGGGTTTGATCCTACTGTGCATAATTGCTTGATTAATGCCAACATTCAGTGGGGAAATCTTGATCAAGCTCGCCGCTTGTTTGACGAAATGCCTGAGAGAGACGCGGTTTCTTGGACTGCCTTAATATCGGGTTTGATGAGGTATGGAAGAGTGGATGAGTCAATGTGGTACTTTGAGAGAAATCCATTTCATAATGTGGTTTCTTGGACCGCGGCAACTAATGGGTTGGTGCAGAATGGGTTGAATGCTGAAGCCCTGAAGCTTTTTCTGAAGCTGCTTGATTCTGGGGTCAGGCCTAATGATGTTACATTTACTTCTGTTTTGAGAGCTTGTGCAGGGTTTGGGGAAATTGGTTTGGGGATGAGTGTTTTGGGGTTGATTGTTAAGACTGGCTTTGAACACAATATATCAGTTTCTAATTCCTTAATTACTTTGTGTTTGAAGATGGGCGAAAAGGCTCTGGCCAGGAGAATATTTGATCAAATGGAAAAGAAAGATGTTGTCTCTTGGACTGCAATCCTAGATATGTATGTTGGGATGGGGGACTTGAGAGAAGCGCGTCGAATCTTTGATGAGATGCCAGAAAGAAATGAAGTTTCTTGGAGTGCAATGATTGCGAGGTACAGTCAGAGTGGACATCCTGAAGAAGCATTGAAGCTCTTTCTTCAGATGTCCCGCAATGGGTTCGTCCCAAATAGGTCCTGTTTGGCTATCATTCTTAGTGCGCTGGCTACCCTCGAGGATTTGCGAGTGGGAATGAACATCCATGCACATGTTGTAAAAATTGGATATGAGAAAGATGTCTTCATCAGTAGTTCTCTTGTTGACTTGTACTGTAAATGTGGAAAAACTAAGGAGGGCCGCTTGGCATTTGACTCAATGTTGGAGAAGAGTGTGGTCTCATGGAATTCTATGGTTGGTGGGTATTGTCTGAATGGACAAATGGAAGAAGCTAAGGTGTTGTTTGATAGCATACCTGCACCGAACAATGTGTCGTGGAATACTATGGTCGGAGGTTACTTAGAGAACAAAGAATTTGATAAGGTATTTGAAGTATTTAATGAGATGCTTTTGTGTGGAGAAACTCCAAACACATCCACCTTCTCAAGTGTGCTCAGTGGTTGTGGGAGCATAGCCTCGTTAGAGAAAGGAAAGAACCTCCACGGAAAAGCAATTAAACATGGAACCCAGTATGATGTTTTTGTCGGCACAGCCCTCGTTGATATGTATGCGAAATCCGGGGATATTGAGAGCTCCAAGAAGGTATTCGATCGGATGCCTGAGAAGAATGAAGTCAGTTGGACTGTGATGATTCAGGG